TCCACGAAATGAGGCAATAATATCTCCTTTCCTTATTCCATCAACTATGCATTGGCGGTCGGTTGAGGAACTTCATGATCCATTCGTACGTCGCCCACTGCAATTAATTAGCATTAGCGTACTGCATTTTACCTCTCACAGGCTGCTCCCGGACTGCAAAAAAGCAAAGAGCAAATGATCATCACATACCTGTACAGCATTTACTATAAAGGCTCGCAAACTGCACACCCCTAATCCACGATAAAATACCTTAAGGCCTTCCGTACGATATGCTTGCTTCGCTATTCCAAAAGTGCTCAATATCTGTCCATCACTACAGGTAGAAGTCCGCAATAGCATTTGCCTTTCAGGTGGGATCCCAGGGAGCAGCATCCCTGGTGACCCTTGTGCCTGAAGACGTGTCTTGATAACATCCAGCGGGAATATAGATGCCCATGTGACAATGCCAGCAATTCCGCCACATAAAAGGATCTTCACCGCTGCTTGCTGGAAGCTTTCATCTGGAGTTGTCATGAGGCGTTTGCATAACTCGTAGGACCAGAAACTATATTCGATTTAGCAGATGATAGGAACTAATAATCCCCAACATGGGTTTGAAAGGCCGCCAGAAGGGAAATTGTAATATCTTTTGCTTTTCATACTAGAATCCATATCCCAAGGAGTCTCGGACACTTGTAACACCGCCCCCACAGTATAGTCCCCTAAACCTTCTCCTTCTCCAGATATCTTTCGTCACAGTCCATGATGATACCGATTGGTGAGAAGCAAGCTGGGCACGACATTTTACCAATTCCGTTGGGGAGGAGATGACCCAGCTGGCAAGCCCTCCCACAGCACCGGCAATCCATATCTGATACAGAGGGACGCCTACGGGGTCAGTCGGATCGGGTACAGGATGCGAGGCAATATTCATCAAAGTCCGATTGTAGGCAACGAAGAGGATAGCATTGAGGGCACCGTATCCGAGTATGGGAGCCGTTGCACCTGTAATTAGGGAATATATGCGATTAGTTTACTTGTATCAACTGTTGGCGGATGGGTTGGCAGTATCGAACCTCGAACAAGTGAAGATGAAGCATCAAAATGGCTGCTCAAAGCCTGCGGAGATCTAAGTGATCCGAGAGCAGTTTGCCCCGCCTGCAGACGGGTCTTGACTAGGTCAAGGGGATTCCCAATAACGATGCCAATGGCTCCGCTGAGGTAGCCGGCCCAGAAGTCATTGGACATGGAGTCGTGGCCTGCCTACCTCGAGGCCTTCGAGGTACTTGTTGTGTCCATGAAAGGTGTCTCGCGTTTTGAGTCGAATTCATCAGGACAAGGTCATGTGACTTAGAGGGGGAAAGCTTCCCGCCGTAAGCCAAACCAAATTTCCATATACAACGACAACGCGCAATAAAATATTAAATACCGCCCATGCTACAATGGCTTCGAGTGCTTGATAAAACGGAATCCCATTTAAATTGCCATGATGACACCAGTCAGCGAATACTTATTCATCCATAAGACCTCACTCACTCCCAAGTCATGTGATTTCGTGGCAATTTGGCGATTTGTTCGAAACACGAAGTAACTAACCAACTAATTAGCTAACTATTAGTAGTTAACTAGTATTACTCAAACATTGGACGCGTTCCCTAGAGGAATTGATTGCCTACAATATCGAGTCACCAAGTCACGTTGCTTTCATAACTCCATCCACGTTGAAAAATCTTCACGGCAGACTTTTATCATTTACTTCAGGCTTCAGGCTATATAGTCCAATGTATTCCTCCCATTTAACTTAAAATGATTTTGATGGTACACATTTCTAACCCCCGAATAGGCATCGGCCCCGACCGAAAACTTCTGACGCCATTGTACCGAAACCTTCAGCTGACTCGCTCAACAAACCGTTCAAATGCCCTAGAACAGCGTTACACACCCGCGCCTCTGATAAACCGGCACGAAAAAGACGAAAGGTTAATTATGCTGGAGCAGACGGAAATGCAGAGGATAGAGAGAAGCCATGGACAAACGAAGAGCGTTTGGCCCTCGCCAACCGCGATGCAAATAGATTCCCTGCATTCAAAGTCAAGGATAAAGACCAGATATTCAAGCAGCGATTTTCGATCCCACTGATGAACAAAAACTCCGGTGCATACAATCCGAATCGCCCAGCGCCCATCCTTGGGATGCGGAGTGGAACTACGTTCATCGTTAAACCGCTGCATGATCCTAGCGGAGAATTTGCAATTGTGCTTTACGATCCTACGATTGATGATAAACCTGCGGATCGTGATGGTGGGGAGGGTGGGAAGCAAGCGGAAAATCCGGATATACCTAAATTGGATGCGCCTTTGGTGCACAAGAGTTTGGCGGATATCCTTGGGATCAAGAAGAAGGTTGAAACGCGCCCGAGGATTCCAGTTGTTATCGATCCTAGACTTGCGAAAGTATTACGTCCGCATCAAGTGGAGGGAGTGAAGGTATGGCGGTTATTTTAATTCTCGATTCGGATGAAGACCGCGCACTGACATTTACGAAGTTTCTCTATCGTTGTACAACGGGCATGATTGACCCGAAGGCAAATGGGTGCATTATGGCAGATGAAATGGGATTGGGGAAAACGGTATGACTACAGCAGTTGGTTTCTTCATGACACATGCCTACTAATGACATTTCATATTAGCTCCAATGTATCACTTTGCTATGGACTCTGCTTAAACAATCCCCAGAGGCAGGTAAAACAACCATTCAGAAGTGTGTGATTGCCTGCCCATCGACCCTCGTGAAGAATTGGGCAAATGAACTTGGTACGTTGAGGTATCCTACATGTGTAGCCTCTTCCGCTGACATTTTGCAGTCAAATGGTTGGGTAAAGACGCAGTAACCCCTTTCGTTATTGATGGAAAAGCGACTAAAGCGGAACTTACATCCCAACTCCGACAATGGGCTATTTCATCCGGACGAGCAGTTGTCCGACCAGTGCTGATCGTTTCTTATGAAACACTGAGACTGAATGTTGATGAAATTAAAGACACCCAAATTGGATTACTCTTATGTGATGAAGGTCACCGACTCAAAAATGGTGACAGTCAAACGTTTACTGCTCTAAATAGCTTAAATGTCGACCGTCGAGTGATCCTCTCCGGAACTCCAATTCAGAACGACTTGTCTGAATATTTCTCTCTGTTGAATTTTGCCAATCCCAACATTCTTGGCACCCGAAGCGAATTTCATAAAAAATTTGAAATGCCAATCCTCCGTGGTCGAGATGCTGATGGAACGGATGAGGATCGGAAGAAGGGCGATGAAACCGTCGCCGAACTTTTGGCCATTGTCAACAAATTCATTATTCGACGGACCAACGACATTCTGTCCAAGTATTTGCCTGTCAAGTACGAGCATGTGGTGTTTTGCGGGTTGGCTCCGTTTCAAACAGACTTGTATAATTATTTTATTCAAAGCCCTGATATCAAGAGTTTACTTCGAGGTAAAGGAAGTCAGCCCCTAAAAGCTATTGGCATCTTGAAAAAACTTTGCAACCACCCGGATCTCCTGAACTTGGGCGCCGATCTTCCCGGATGTGAGCAGTTTTTCCCAGAGGACTATATCCCTATAGAGTCCCGTGGGCGGGATCGTGATGTGAGATCTTGGTATTCTGGTAAAATGATGGTCTTGGATCGCATGCTTGCTCGAATTCGACAAGACACCAATGACAAGATTGTTTTGATCAGTAATTACACGCAAACTCTTGATCTTTTTGAACGACTCTGCCGGTCACGTCAATATGGATGTTTGCGATTGGATGGCTCAATGAATGTGACCAAAAGACAAAAGTTGGTTGATAAATTTAACGACCCTGAAGGGGAGGAATTTGTCTTTTTGCTAAGTAGTAAGGCAGGCGGGTGCGGCATCAATTTAATTGGGGCCAATCGCCTGGTCTTGTTCGATCCTGACTGGAACCCGGCCGCAGATCAACAGGCCCTCGCTCGAGTGTGGCGTGATGGACAGAAGAAGGACTGTTTCGTTTACCGATTCATCGCAACGGGTACCATCGAGGAAAAGATATTCCAGAGACAATCTCACAAGCAATCATTGTCTTCGTGCGTCGTTGACTCTGCGGAGGATGTCGAACGCCATTTCAGTCTTGATTCCCTTCGAGAACTATTCCAGTTCAAACCGGTGACCCGTAGCGATACGCATGACACGTTCAAGTGCAAGCGATGTGGACCCGATGGAACCCAACATATAAAAGCGCCTGCCATGTTGTATGGAGACACGAGCTCGTGGAATCATTTCGTCAATACCGGGGAGAAAGGACCCCTGGGCAAAATCCAAGATTTGCTATTAAGACAGGAAGCCTCTGAGCGCGATGTGACGGCCGTATTCCAGTATATCAGCCATTGAGCATAATCCTATTTCTTCTTTCTGTTTTCAGGAGTTTGGGGTTCAGATTATCAGCTTTGCATATATTTTTGAAAACTGTACCACAGTAGAACTAGCCTAGATGTTAAATAGAGTCCGTTGAGTTGTCTCTATCTACATGAGCTGCTCAGATAATTAAGAGATGTTCCAAAGTTGAAAGTCACATATGTTCCCTGCTTTAATGAAGGGCCCTACTTGAGGATTATTTCGGTGCGCCAAGCTATTGCACTGTATTAGGCTTAGCGTATCTGGGAGCAGCACTTCATGGTACGTCACGGGCCGTTGAATAGATTCCAACCGTGAACATTCAAACGTTGGATATATCAGCCTGCCCGTCAACTTTTGCTTCCTCCACGAATATATGCCACAAAGGTGTCCTTGGCTGTGCCTTCATGGAGCATGATTTCTTTACGGGTATAATGCTAACGAGACTGGATACCCCTACGCTTTGACCTGTGCCTGAAATCAATAAAAGTGAAGCTTGCTTGGTTTCATCACGGTTTCGCTGCTACTCCACCGACATGATTCCTGCCCGAGCCTGATCCCATTTCTCTATTCAAAAGGCTGCCTGGCTCCCTGCTACAGTATCCGTTATGGATCCATCTGTTCAAAGACTGCTGAGCGACAAGCTATACGATAAACGGAAACAAGGTGCTTTGGAGTGAGCTTCTCAATCCCGGCCTTTTGCTTTTCCGCCCGAAAACCCCACAGCTAATTTATGGTCATTTGTCGAATGCTAGACTCGAAAAAACTATCCGTGATTCTCTTGCGAAAGGTGAACCTAGCAAGATAAAAAACATCGTGGACCAGCTGTGTCACGAATATGCATATGCCGTCCACCAACCTCACACAAGAAACGGCGGATTAATTGGTCTAGCGGCGGCCTCGATAGCGCTTGGTACGGTGAGTTGTGTGAACGATGGGTGCTTCTATTTTCGAAATGGCATGAAAACTCAGAATTATATCTGCAGGATGAAGTTGCTCCCTTTCTCTACGAAATCGTTCCTCCCGTCCTTGCCTGTTTTACAGATCAAGATGCACGCGTTCGTTACTACGCATGCGAAAGCATGTATAACATTGCGAAGGTAGCCAAGGGAGAACTGCTACTATTTTTCAATGATATTTTCGATGCATTGTGCAAGGTAGGCTTGAAATAAATCATGGCATGCAAAAATTTGAATGTTCAAGCGCTAATATAGTTTTCCTGTTACCAGCTTGCTTCTGACTCGGAACTGTCAGTGAAGAACGGAGCAGAACTCCTCGATCGGCTCGTGAAAGACATAGTTTCTGAATCGGCAGCCTCATACGTCTCCATTTTACAAGCACCCAAGAAAGCTCATAGTGAATCGGGGATAGATGGGGTTGATGAGTCGGAGGAAATCCCAAATCCGCCTACAGCGTTTTCGCTTGCAAATTTTATCCCTCTCCTCAAGGAGCGCATACATGTCATCAATCCATTCACACGCACCTTTCTAGTTTCATGGTTAACGCTGTTGGATACGATACCCGATTTGGAGCTTGTGCATTATTTGCCCGCCTTTTTAGGAGGCTTGTTCAGGTTTCTCAGTGACCCTAATAGGGATGTTCATACCATAACTCAAGGTGCTCTGGAAACGTTTCTTAGTGAGATTAAGAAGATTGCTTGTATAAAAAGGGGAATCGCATACAGCCGTCGTGACCAGGAAAGTGGGAACAATAAACAATCTTCTACAAACTATAGTATGAGTGTTAGCTCTAGTACGAGTGATGCCAAGGACGTCAGTGACAATGCTATTGCGGATTCCGATCCTGGGGCTGTTAACGATGAAGATGTCAATGTTTACGGGGATTACGTTCCTGGGCAGGATGTTCATGTAGATCATCCTAAGATTCTAGAGATCCTAGTTGGCTTTGTGGACACATCCTTTGGTACGATATCATTTTATACGCGATATATCACACATATAATATAGTGTTTTCGTACACTATCTGCTAACAGCAATGCAGAGGAGGAAATCCAGTTAACGGCGCTGCGATGGATAGATAGCTTTTTTGAAATAAGCCCAGAGGACATACTTCAGTATGTCCCGCGGCTTCTTTCAAAAGTGCTACCCGCGCTTTCGAGTGGTTCAAATCAAGTTCGCGAGGCTGCAAATCGAGTTAATACGTCACTCATGCAATACATCGTCTCCCTCACCGATGATAGTGGCATTGATGAAACTCAGTTAGCTCCACCCTCGAGGTTGCCTGCCGCACCAGTTAAGGAGGCGGATGGCCGAAGGTCATCAACTCCTACTGGAAAACCGCACTCTGTCTCTAATGATGCCAACGCTATAAAGCCACTTCCATCTCCTCCGATACCTAGGGCAGCATTGGCTCCACGAAGCAATGGAGATGCAACACCAATGCCTTCTCCAGACTTAGATTATGCCGCAGCTGTCAATGCGTTAACTCTCCAGTTTCTCAACGAGAACGAGGCTACAAGAGTTGCATCGTTGGCTTGGCTTATTATGCTTCACAGAAAGGCGCCGAGGAAAGTTCTTGCGTTCCACGACGGAACGTTTCCTGCTCTGCTTAAGACTCTGTCGGATCCATCTGAAGCGGTTGTTACGCGAGATCTCCAACTTCTCTCTCAGATCTCGAGAAATAGCGAAGATAGCTATTTCACGTCGTTTATGGTGAACTTACTTCAGCTCTTTTCCACCGACCGAAAACTTCTCGAAATACGTGGCAACCTTATTATCAGACAGCTCTGTGTTAATCTAAGCCCAGAACGGATTTATAGAACGTTGGCGGATTGTCTTGAAAAGGAGGAGGTAAGTTATGTCTTACGTTTTCGCTGGTTTCTGATAAAATGTGGACTGACTGTACATGTAGGACATTGAATTTGCTAGTATTATGGTGCAAAATTTGAATAATAACCTCATTACTGCTCCTGAACTTGCAGATATGAGAAAGAGATTGAGAAACCTTGAATCTAAGGTAAACATTATCTCCCCAAAAACTTCTATGTTTTTACTGATGTGGTGTTAGGATGGTCAAATGTTTTTCGTAGCCTTGTTTAGATCATGGTGTCACAATGCCGTTGCTACCTTTTCTCTGTGCCTCCTGGCCCAAGCATACGAACAAGCATATAATCTTCTGCAAATTTTGTAAGTTCCCCTCTACTCCATTCCCATGTGGTTATCATAAATCTGATCGAATATCATGCAGCGCGGAGTTAGAAATGACTGTCAATATGTTGATCCAAATCGACAAGCTTGTTCAGTTACTAGAATCGCCAGTTTTCACCTGTTAGTGCTTTATCTCAACGGTTATATTCGTATCAGGAAGTCCGCACACGAACTGACCGCCTTCAATCGTAGACCTCCGCCTCCAGCTTCTTGAACCGGAGAGATATCCTTACCTGTATAAATGTCTTTATGGCGTCCTTATGTTGCTTCCCCAAAGCTCCGCGTTTGCTGCGCTCAAGAACCGCCTTAACAGCGTGAGCAATATTGGGCTACTACACCCAGCTGCTCGAGGGTATGTTTGCTAAAGTCTAGATATCTCCTTTAACTTCTTGCATTCTGTGTATCACATCAGCCTCTAACCATCCACAAGTCCTGCAAACGCTCCAGGGATTCCTTCGTCCTACGAACGACCAGGAGGCAGATTGAAATCCCGCGAAGATATTCGATGGGGCGATCTGCTTGAAAAGTTCAAATTCGTGCAGGAAAGGTCCAGACGTTCAGGGCGAACGTCATCTCGGCAACTAGTCTCTGGCGGAGATAACGCTCCCCACTCATCAATTGCTGCGGCAGTTGCGGCAGCTACTGCAGCAGGTCAAAATGGCGGCAGGGAGAGAGCTGCTGCAGATTCCCATCGTTTAGGGGCTGCAGGCACTGGAGGAACTGGTGGTGGAATCGCCCATTCGACACGACAGAGCTTTGCGATGCATGACTCTGGTGCCGGCGGAGCGCAGAAGTCACCCAAGACGAGATCCACGCTTGGAAACTTTGGTCGATTAAGCGGGATCGGACAAAGGAAAACGAAACGATGAACCCTAGATATAGGGTGATTGATTGTATTGATTATAATAATGATGGAAGATTATGGGGGTTAAATACGGGTTTGTTCTGTTTTCTTTCCAGCTATTGCCATAGCATGTATTTCCCTTTTTAACATAAATTTCTATCCGGCCTACGTATTCCTCGTCGTATCTTGAGCTGTCTTTTTCCTGTTTTCATTTAACCCGTTGTTCACTTTTCAATGCTATAATGCGGCATGAATGGAAGGCAGGCAAGCAATATATTTATGTTCCACACCCAGATATCTGTTAACATTGGTCAAATGAGTCTCCATTCCATCCACCGTCCCCCTTCTGTTTTACGATATTTCCTCGTTTGCCGGTACATGAAAGCTATAAACTGTACGATTTGGTTAAAACTGTCAAAACCCCAAAATCCAAAGGATGTACTAACGTTGGATTGATGGAGGGGAAGATGACCCTGTGTTCAAACTCTGTAGAAATCGGTGTCATATCCGGTACCGATATGTTCCGAAGTTCCAAATGAGCTTCACCGTATTTAGTATGCCACGAATCAAAACCCACCATGACTCCAATAGATCCGACTAAAAAGAAAATATTTGCTTTGCTTTGTCTGATGCTACTTCTCGCACCTACAGATTACCGTGCTTAGCTTTTCAATAATAATTTTATGATAAATCTGATTCCTATAACGAGAGAAAGAAACTAGAAACATTTAATAAATACAATACTAAAGAACAGAGGAAACTCAGTTGCAAATCGTATAGTTGTAAAGGATGTGCTTAGAACTATACATGAGGAGGACGATTGATGCCAAATGCCAATTATGATGGATAACAGTGTGGTTCAATGGAAGATGGAAGAGGGTGGGGGATAAGAAGAGGTCACGAAATAGATGTGTGCGGCCCATTTTAAGCGTCGAGATATCAAAAGCAAGATTTCGATGCTTTTGATGTCGATCCCAGGGGCAGACGTGAGCGCGGGCACTTATGGGATATGTGTAAACACCGAGGGACCTCCTATTTGACGAAGAAACTCCTCACAAAGAAATTGAAATGACGTTGCTAAACGAAATGAGATTCATTAGGGATGCTTTTTTCCTTGGGGCGGGGTGAAATAGGTGCAAGGTAACCCTTTTTCTCTCGATGCTGCACCTGCTCGAAGAGACATGCAGATATTTTGGTATTTGTCTGTGTTTTTGTAAAGAGAATGTAATCTTTTAGTTTTCTTCCCTTCTTGTCGTTCATGTTTCAATATCGCGATATAAAACAACCTGCATCACACATATCGACGATGCTTTGTTCCATATCCAGGCCAGGTCCCCGACGGCCGCCATGAAGTCCCCGTCGAATGTTTGACTACCGTTGGGCCCGACGTTGCGGTCGACGAATATGCGCTGCCGGTATTGTTTGCGTAAATATATTCACCGTTGACGTATTGGGCCCCTGTGGTGAAGGTGCTGCGATTCTTGCGTCTAGCATACCGTTGTTCGAGTCGGTAGAGCTCCAGTTCTAAAAATGGTGAGTTAGCATGGCGGGCAAATGGCCGACAGTGATGTCACAAGGAAGGGGGGGGGCAAAAGGGAGGACGTGAAGGCTCCGTTCTGTGATGCCTATATAGGATTGGAATTTTGGAGAGGGGAGGGAAGAATCACACGTACTTGCTTGTAATTTCTCAATGATACCCATTGTGTGAATGAAAAAAAGATGTATGTGATGTTGCTTTCAAGTGGATCTTTCCGCGTATCTCATTAACACCAAAAGTGTCTTCAATCGTCCCAGCCTGGCTGATCTATATTTATCACTGCTGTGGCTGGGGTTGAATGAATTCAACAGTTCCGTTGCTTTTCGCGGTGTAGAATTTCCACTTGATGTTCAAAGGTGTATTCGGGCTCTTAATAGCAAGGGGATTAAACTATAATCGTTGTCTGATGTTATAACAACGATATAAGAATTAGCCAGCAGGAGGTTGCCACCTGTTCTCGGACAAAGACCGGAGATCCTTCGATTTTTATGATGTTTCGCGATTTTCCGGTAGCTTCGAGGTTAATCGGGACGCTGATAACAACCGAAACCGCCTCTTAAAAATCTCCCCAGCTCAAGGAATGCGGTAAAAATAGTAGAGCCTTGCCAAAGTGAAGAACTGGAGATCCAAAGTCGGCTTTAATTGGTTTTAATGAGCATGGTGTTAAATATTGGCTATATGTGTATAAATTGACCTGCTCCATCCAAGCTCATAATCAGCTGGGGAGCTCCATGTCTGACAGAAGTCAAATAATTAAAGAATACAACGTAGTTCTGGCTCCATTAGAAACGTACGGCAGATGCAACCGTCGTCGTTAACTATTGAAAGCAGAGAGAAAATCGGAGGTGGCACGAACCTGTTTGGATGGCGGGGGATGTGAACGATTAACGAACGGCAAGGTGTGGCTTGGTTGGAGAAGAAATATATGTGGTTTTGGTCTCACAGATCCATTGGCGACCAACAGGAGAGCGAAAGTGAGTGAAGAGGAATGAGTGTATGGGATGACGGGATAATGACACTCCTAAATCCTGCTATCGCTGACGGAGCAGATAAGAAATAACTGGGGGAAGAGGAGGGAAATGGGAAGGAAAATATCGAGACGAAAAACAACAGGCGAACCAACCGGATCCAAAAAGCCCACCGAAGCGAAGATACGACGAAGAGGTTAGCGATTCCAACCACTGACAATCACGCGCAGTTCAGTTGTTGCATCCTTGGGCCAATTGGGCTCTCTCGTCAGTCCACAGCACACTGACTAGTTAGCGCCCAATCCCAGTTCTACAGAGACTTCGCTGGTGGGGACCCGAGGCGTGCCTGTTTTCTCCCAGAAGGTGGTTTGATATTGTCTTGTTCACGCAGTTAACTATGTGGAACAAAATGCGTGCTTGAGCAGTTGACAGAGAGGGCATCTACATTGATCTACTACTGTACATACATACAAAATTACCCTTGGGGCTTTTGCCATTGGCAAACTGAAGCCTCAACGTCTGAAGCAACAGGCGCAATTCAGACAGATATCCACGGAATAAAACTCGGACTCAAGCCTTTTAATTAACTTGCTTAATTAATCCAGGGGTAAACCCCAACATCTGGAGCGCTAATGTTTTAGCCCAAGCCCACTTCAACCGCCTGGTTTCCAGGGAAATGAACTGCAGGCCTCCGTCTGTCTGCTGCAATCCCCATTCAACGACAACAGAATATATGTTAGGTATCCTCGCCCACTCTTTATCCTGACGACATAATAACCTCACCCCACAAGTTCTCACAGCCCATGGGCCCATGTATTGATTAATGCACGTGGGATCTTGGTCAATGAAATATGTATGCCAAAAAGAGAAAGAAGAAAAAAAATAAAAAATAAAAAATAAGAAAAGGAAAAAAAATAAGAAAAGGAAAAAAAAAAAATAAAAATAAAAATAAAAAGGGAAGTGTGATCTCTGCAAGAGCAGTCCATTTTCTTGTTTATTGTTGGATTTCTTCGGGCCGAAAAAACCAATATGCAGACCCCTAAGAACACCTACGGGCCAAGCAGCAGGGTAAGATGCGGTTTTCTGGTGTTGGTCGAAGGTTAGTCTGAATATGAAGGATCTGAAACTACGTGAAAGCACTTCTTTACTTGTTAGATATGAGTGCATGTGTCTAATGAGCACGTAGTTATCGTACAGTGCATACGTACATTGGACTGCTCCAACTATCCAGAGTTGACATTCAGGGACCAGGGGGGGGGAAGACCACCCCCTTGGATATGCGTTCCACAGATGTCGTTTGCGTATATATTTGCCTCCCCTTCTCATTTACGACGAAGGTTGCGGCGATGATTGATTAGGATCTTTCATAGCCTCCACGTCTCCTGGTTCCTCAAGTGCTGCTTCAATCTCCTCAATTTCAATGTCGATATCTTGTGCTAGAGACCTCTCCTGTGCTGTATTTTGTTAAGATTGGTCAGCAATGGTTTTGTGTCGTATCCAGCAGAAAGAGTGCGGAGATGAAGCAAAACAAAACGGGGAATAAATGCAATCAATCTTCATATGAGATGACATACCTTTCCATAATTCCGCATAAACCCCATTCATGCTTAGCAGCTCACCATGTGTTCCGCTCTCAGCAACCTTGCCATCTTTCAACACGAGGATTTGATCACTATCATATATGGTACGCAGGCGATGTGCTACAAACACGCTCGTTCTTCCCTTGTCCTTCAGAATACTATTGATGTTTTGGAGCAACGCTTGCTCAGTATATGTGTCCAGAGCGGAAGTCTATTTTCGTTCATCACAAAGTTTAGTTTATCAGGCCAGCGACCAGCAAGAATGCTCAAACGACAGATGAGTAAAAACACTCACCGCTTCATCGAAAAATAGAAGAGGCGGATCTTTGAGGAGCAGACGCGCAACTGCCAGGCGCTGCTTTTCGCCTCCTGATATCATCATTCCACGTTCACCCACTGGTGTGTTGTAGCCTTCAGGAAGGCACTCAACGAGCTCATGGAAGTGTGCTCGTCGTGCAGCATTTCGGACTTCCTCTTCAGCTGCATCTATCCTACCATACCGGAGGTTGTGTTCGATGGTGTTGTTGAAAAGAGGCGTGTCTTGCGGAACTACCCCGATAGCTCTCCTTAAACTATCTAGGGAGACGTCACGAATATCCTGGCCGTCGATCAAAATCCTGCCCTCTTGGACGTCATAGAACCGGAACAAGAGCCGCAATATTGTTGACTTTCCGCACCCGCTGGGACCAACGATGGCGAATTTTTGGCCGGGCGGGATTGTGAAGCTGACCCCCTTCAGAACTGCACGGTCGGGATGGTAAGCGAAAGTTACGTTTTCAAATCTAATCTCTCCACCGCGAGTGAGCTCAAGTGGTTTGTTATCGGCCTTTTCCTTAACGTTAATGTTGACCCTTTGAAGATTAAAAAGGGTTTCCATGTCTAGCAAGGACTGTCTCAGTTCTCTGTACACAGACCCCAGGAAATTCAACGGTACCGATAG